ACTATTTGCCGTTTGTATATCCAAGAATCGAAACGACAATTGCAAACGTCGTGCACTACTTTCACAAAGAGTTTTAACCATTCACTCCTAACATAAGCAGGCGTTAAATTTATCAAAATCCGAAATTCTCCCAGGTGAATGTCGGCAAAACTTGTTGACAAGCTTGGAGAATTGATACTGTTTTTCTAGTGCAGGGGGCGGCTGTTCACAGGCTAGGGTGTTGCTGTCGCTGATTTTTTTCCTTCTTTTTTCTTCTAATCGAAAGTTGATGTGAAACGGAATCAGTCATTCTATAGGCTGTGTTATAAAAGATTAACTATAAAATTACCGACACTATGCGGCCAAGAGCCCTTTCTACTGACACAGCACTCGCCTGCTTTATATTGTAATACAGAAGTTTGAGTCACGTATTACAGACGATCCAAGTTGGCTAAAATCTTCATTGGCAAGTCATTCCGTCAAAATACTCTAATGCCGCTCATTGCATTCGATTTAATAAAAGCTCGACAACTGAATGCGATACTAACATACTGTTTTTGCGAATAGTTCCCCTATTAAGACAGTTTCTTTAGAGTTGCAAAAAACAGGATAAAACATAACATTATACATTTAATTGCGAATCAAGGACAACTAAGCCAACTTAATTAAATATTTTGCAAATAATGAAAGGAAAATTCAAAACCAACCTGAGGTACTGATTCCCGAGTGAAATGACAAAATAAGCTTTCGCGTGCAAGGTCAAGATTCAACCGCACATCTCGTGTTCAAAATGGAATTTATGACCGAATTCTAGCTGCAGTGGTTATATATGTCTTTCATCATCGAACCATTTCGAGAAACCATACCGATATCACGTGATGGTTGTGTTCTTAGGATTGGACAATTCAGGAAAAGAGTTGAATCACGTGCAGATATGAAAACTGAAATGAATATCTCCTCATTTTTGTGTCTAGTGCGTAACACCAAACACCTTGTAAAAGCGGTAAGAGATTGAGTGTCAACAAATTACGTAATGCCTTATTGGTTTTTGTAGCTTACTGTCTAAAAAGGCGTAAGCTGCTATGCTGTCCTTCTGAGTGAGTGAGTGTAACTATAGTATCGAGCCAAACTCTGCCGATTTTGATCCGATATTCCCCGATCTTAACTCCTTTTTGAATCTACGGACTTCTGTGAAGTCGTAGATACTATGCTATCCAGAGTGTAAGTCCTTCCGTATGTCCATAACAATGGAAACCTGCGGATAATGCTCGGAATTCAGTTCGCTCTTCTCCAACATCGTTCGATTTTCGTATCTCGCGTCGGCGATCGTGATCGCAATTTTTTATCTCCTGCAGATTTTGTGTCGCATTGCTGCGATTATTTGCACCGCCAAGGGAATATTTGCCCACCCCAAAGGAGTTTATCTGTCGCATTGCTGCGATTATTTCTTCCGCGATTGATTTTTTACTCAAAAATCAAGATGAAAGATTAAAATCGCTAA